GGTTTGATTTTGCAGAAGTGATTTGCTATTTCACACTCTGTAGGACATCATTTCAGGAAATGAAAACTGGAGCTGCAAAACGCTGGGTGAGGCAGGAGGTGAATGTTCTTACCTGGGTGTCTGGGATGATCAGCCTCGTGCCATCTGCAAAGGTGGAATTTACCTGCAAAAGGCACACTTGCACCAAAGTGCTACCCCTTCCCCTCCCCGATGTCACACACTTTTACTGAACTATCCCCCAAATGTTCTACCCAGGAAGTTAATCACCACAATAAGCATAAATGGTAAAAGGGTCTGAAGAGATTCTTTCCCCTGGGGGGATCCCAGAACATTTTGTTTTCCTGTCCAGCAGAGAATGAATCTGCCTTCCTTGTGGTGTGCTAACCACACACTTAGCCAGTAGCTGTTGCCAGTGATGTGCATGAATCTCTGACAAGGACTTTTTCCCCCCTTCCAAGCTAAGAAATTAAAAACAATAGCATTAGAGGAGAGGAAGGAAACTGCCAGGCTGGAATAGAACTCATGGGTACAAGAAACAGAGAGAACACATCAAACTACAAGTAAAAACCTATTTCAGTGGATGATGATTATCTCTCTTTCCCACTGGGAGAGGGGAGGAAGCTGAGTTCTACCCTGAAGAATCTGGGGTGTGCACATGGTGGTGAAAGGCGTGAGATTAAGAGACATCCTTGGGAGTGTCAGAGTGAACCAGAACAATGGAGGGAACATAGCAGGAGGAGGAGATGTTCTTTGTAATTTAGCTGATCTCAAATTCACGGGTGTTTGAAGCAGAAACATTTAATCTCCTGAGGCTGCAGCTCATCTGTATAAATAGCCAGACACCTTCCAGTATTGTATCTAAAACTACAGATAAACTCTTACAACAAATGAGAACCTAAGCAATAAGCAATGATGCTTTATTTGGGCAGTGATAGAGTCCAGGCAAAAGGGAAGCAAGTTTTCCCCTCTGCACAGGCAACAGGCATCCTGCTTGGCCACATCCTTTAATCCCAGCCCTGAAATTACTCTCTTGTGAAAGCTTCTTAATAGTGTTTAACTACGCAGGCTCTACCACTGGAGGACAGGCTGTCACATCAGTGAGCAGTTAGGAGCATGACACTCCTAACACACATTGTTCTCCAGGTATTTGGGAAAATAAACCAGGCAGCTAAAATAGCCCCTGGAATAACTGCAGCCATTAGAGCATCACCTACCCAAAATCAGGTATTTTTTGGAGCGAGGGAAGTCTTGTTTCACAGGTCACTTGAGCCAAGCAATAAAACTGGAACAGCAGCTTTGGTTCCTACTGAGTACCTGTGTTTACTGCTCAGTGCGTGCCTGCTGGCTGATGCACCATAAATAAGACAACTGTGTGCGAAAGAAAAAGGGATTCTTAGGATACCACTTTTATCCCTACACTGAATGCCCACTTCCGTGTTACTTTGGTTGTGGGAATGCTGAACAACTTGCCTAGGTGGCAGCATGAGTTACCTTCTGAACACCAAGGCGAGGATTTGAGTTACTGCAGATCCATGAGGACTGTCATAGCACAGATTTCAGTTTGCTTCTTATTCTAGTCTTCCATTAAGGTTGTTTTCCAGTCATGTGCACTTGGAGAGTACTGACTGATATTTTCCATGAGTTTTAACTATAAAATGAGCTGATAAATTACTTGTTTTGCTATTACATCTCTGCTAAAAAAAACTAAACCAAACATGAAGCAAAAATAAGAGAATCTCTTAACACAGGATTCATGCTCCAGTTCCTTTCTACTTGCTTCTCCCCTGTTATGCAGGAGAACTTTTTCTGTCCGGTTTTTCATGTTGGGTTCCTGGCAGGGAATCGCAGAAGATTCTCACACTACTGGAAATAATATTTTATGTACTAAAGTTGAAAAAGGAGAACGTGTTCTGCCAAAGAACGAGTACAAACCCCTGACCTCTGCAGCAACAACAGACGAGATGCTTAGAAATGCTCATTTTACCACGGAAGTTCTAAGTAATAAATCAGTCTTGATAGACTTGATGGAACTGTGTCCTTAACCTGGTTGTCATTTTTGAGAGCATCGTATATTGTCTCTGCAGTGTAATGAGTTAGTGATGTCCTCAACATAAAAAGGACATGGAACTGTTGGAACAAGTCCAGAGGAGGCCAGGAGGATGATCAGGGACTGGAGCACCTCCTGTATGGAGACAGGCTGAGAAAGTTGGGGCTGTTCAGCCTGGAGAAGAGAAGCTGCGTGGAGACCTCATAGCAGCCTTCCAGTATCTGAAGGGGGCCTATAGGGATGCTGGGGAGGGACTCTTCATTAGGGACTGCAGTGACAGGACAAGGGGTAACGGGTTCAAACTTAAACAGGGGAAGTTTAGATTGGATATAAGGAGGAAATTCTTTCCTGTGAGGGTGCTGAGGCACTGGAATGGGTTGCCCAGGGAGGTTGTGAATGCTCCATCCCTGGCAGTGTTCAAGGCCAGGCTGGACAGAGCCTTGGGTGAGATGGTTTAGGGTGAGGTGTCCCTGCCCATGGCAGGGGGGTTGGAACTGGATGATCTTAAGGTCCTTTCCAACCCGAACTATTCTATGATGTTAAGAATAGCAGCTTTTAACACTCAGGCTACCCCTTCCGCTGCTGTTGTGCCTGCAGTGATACCAGGCACAGCCCCAAGGGCCTACAGTTGAGGAAATGTCAGTTTTTCTTGGATTTGGGGTTGAAGGAAACACTAGAAATATTATAAACCGACTTGGAACCAAGTCCATCGGCACGAGACAGACAATTGTGCCGTAAAGGGCAAGCGGTGAAGCGAACGGGAAGGAATAGCCGGAGAAAGGGAAGAAACAAACCCACTCTTGTTTATTCGGAAGGAAAGAGGCAACAAAGGGACAAACACAAGCTGTGTGCCTGCAGCTTTGATCTCCTACAGTTACGCATTGGACTCGGTGCAAGGAAGGAAATCTTCCGAGGCGTGTTTGATGCCCGGCTGCATCCTGGTGTCCCCAAGGGGCCGTTGCCCCAGGGCTCGGGAGGACCTGGGAACCAGCACAGGGCCGCTTGAGGAAACCACACAGGGCTTCTGAGCTGGAAAACCACTTTTATTGCAGGTTGAGATCCACATTGGCAGATGGGTAAAGCAGGATGGGGTCAGGTGCGGGGAGTCTGAGCCCCCCAAGACAGGTCTGTGGAGTCACAGGCTTTTAGGAGCTCATGAATCAAGAAACTGCAGTCACTGAACCCCAGCCTGGTTTGGGTTGGACTGAACCCCAGCCTGGTTTGGGTTGGAAGGGACCTTAAAGCTCCTCCCGCCCCAATCCCTGCCACGGGCAGGGACCCCTTCCACTAGAGCAGCTTGCTCCAAGCCCCTGTGTCCAACCTGGCCTTGAGCACTGCCAGGGATGGGGCAGCCACAGCTTCTCTGGGCACCCTGTGCCAGCGCCTCAGCACCCTCACAGGGAAGAGCTTCTGCCTAAGAGCTCCGCTCAGTCTCCCCTCTGGCAGGTTAAAGCCATTCCCCTTGGCCTGTCCCTGCAGGCCCTTGTCCAAAGCCCCTCTCCAGGTTTCCTGCAGCCCCTTCAGGCACTGGAGCTGCTCTCAGGTCTCCCCTTAAGGAGCCTTCTCTTCTTCAGGCTGCCCCAGCCCAGCTCTCTCAGCCTGGCTCCAGAGCAGAGCTGCTCCAGCCCTCGCAGCATCTCCATGGCCTCCTCTGGCCTCGCTCCAGCAGCTCCACGTCCCTCTTGTGCTGCTGCCCCAGCGCTGGATCGGGGCTGCAGGGGGGTGCAGAGGGGTGCAGGGGGGTCTCCCTCGCACGCACTATTAGGGGACCCTCACAGAAGCGATGTTTACGTGCAGTTAACGCACAAAATGACCCATTTCGGTGTTTCCAGCTTAAACCTAAACCCCCCCGCTCCCGCCAAGCAGCGCTCCCAACGCGCACGCGCTGACCCCCTCCCAACCCTCGCGAGCCTTCCCTCCGCGCGGCCCTTTGGCCCCGCCTCTTCTCCCCCCTTCCCGCGGGCGGAGGGGCGGGGACCCTGTAAGCCCCGCCTCCTGCTTCGGCCTCGCCCCTCGCCCGTCTCTCTGAATCTCTAGGTTAAAGAGCCCGCTCTCACGCTTTTCCGCCCAGGGGGGATATGTGCGGTGGGTGAGCGGCGTAGGGGCTCGGTGCGGCGGTGGTGGCTGCTGGCGGCTTGAGGGGAAGGAGCGGGCCCGGCTGCGGGCGCCGGGTGAGGCGGAGGAGCTGGTATCGCCGCGGCGTGAAACTCTTCACCCGCCCGCGTCGCTTTGTGCGTCCCCGCTGGGCGGAGCCGCTGGGCGAGCGCGGGGTGTCCCGCTCCGGCCGGTAACTTCCCGCAGCCGCGCGGACGCTTCGTCTCGTCCCGGCGGGGCCGCGCCGCCGCCTGGACCCGCGCGATGGGGAGCGGCGCCGGCCGCCGGGGGAGCGCGGCGGGACCCGCGGGCGACACCTGCCCCGCGCCCCGCCGCTGAGCCCGCAGCCGCCCCGCACCGTGAGCAGCGGGCACCGAGCCCGCCCCGGGGCCTGCCCGCCCCGCGCCCCCGCCGCTCCCGCCTCGGCCTCCTCCCGTCCCGGGCCCCGCCGCGGCTCCGTGCGCAGCGGCGCGGCCTCCGCGGGCCGCCGGCGCGGGGAAAGTTTCGGGGCGCGTCCCCGCCCCGCCGCGGCGAGAGGGGCCCGGCGGAGCCGCGGCTGAAGGCGCGGTGCCGGCTGCCGCCTTCCCGCACCGCCTGCAGGCATCGCCCCCCCGTCGCGGCCCGGCCCCGGGCGCTGCGGACCGGAGGAGCAGGGCAGTAGAATGAGCGCTCCTGTGGACCCCAGGATCAAACAGGCTCTGCGGAAGAAGCCCTCGGAGCGGACTCCGGAGGTGAGCGGCTCTTTGCGCCTGGTTCCCCTGTTTTCCCTTTGCCCCGTCCCTGTTCCGCAGCCGTCCCGCCCGGTGCCGGGTGCTCGCGGGCGGCACATGGGCAGGCTGGCGCTCCGGAACTCCGGACGTGCGCAGCGGCGTTAGTTGGTTATTTCTCCTTTCCAAAGTTGGACTTCTCGAGGCCAGCAGCCTTTTAAACACCCTGGATATGGGCACAGGGCGGCTGATGAGCTCCTTCGGGCCAGGCTGTAGGGAGAAGAAGGGGAGGTAGAGCACTGGAAAGTAAAACCGTGCCTATTTCAGCCATGCAAAACTTATGGGAAAAGTGAGGGAGCTGCGAGGCTTTCCTTACCTGTGCGGCGATGCAGATTTAAACAAAACCAGGCTAATTATGCTTCAGACTTCATAAAGAGCTGCTTTTCCAGTGAGTGGGAGGGGAGAAATGTGCGAGCCTGGTTAGTTACAATAAAACGCGCTCTTCAGTGGGCTGCCTCCTCTGTCCCTTCCCCGCAAGCTGTAATCAGCGTGGATTTAGGGGAATGGTAATGTCATTGCATTAATGTAATGGTGAAATACGTTTGATAGCGTTTGCATTACATGTGAGACTGACTGGAGTTTGGTGCTTGCTTACCCTGGCTGCTTCTTTATTTGTTCCCTTTGCTGTGATTTGTTATGTTTCCGATGCACTCACGAGTCAGTGGTATGAAAAGATACGCTCTTGAGTTTGTCCCTTTGAGACTGGGAAACATCTGTTCTCCCTTGGTACTTCATGAGAGCAGAATGTCCTGCCTGGGCTTCCTTATAAGTTAATTATCAAGAGGCTACTTGGGGAAGCAGAGATGGGTTCAGAGTGTGTCTGAGCAGGACAGAGCCCCCCATTCCCCTTCAGTTTCACTCGTGTGAGTGAAATACATTCAGTCCCAGTGTGTACTCGCCTTGGGATATCCGGTATGTTTGTCCTCATGTCTCCCTATATTAATGATGAGGCAGTCTCCCTGCTGTTTTCTTCCTTTTATCACTCCCCTCTTGCTTCAGCCCTTCTCTTCTTCCTCTCCAGCTGTACTCCTCACGTAGCAAAATGCCTGTGCTTTGCAGTGTTGGGCAACTGGGTTCATCACAGCAGTGGCATTCAGTCACCAGCATACCGTGCTGGCTTGTCACCCTTTGACTTTGGGAACAGGTAATCTGCTCTGGCCTGAAACATCTGCCCACTGCTGCCTCCTGCACTGCCCATGTCTCGTGGCTCTATGGGGCTTTTTGTTCTTTATTTCTTCCTAGGCATGACACATTCCCCCCACCCAGCAACTGTAATGGATGTTTTTTTAGGGTTGTCCCCTTATTTTGGCTAAAACAGCCTTAAAATAAATATTTTGCTTAACCTTGTAATAGTAACTGTCAGACAACATGATGCGGAAGGTGTCGCTGACCATGGCAGGGGGTTGGACCTGGATAAGCTTTAGCATCCCCTCCAAAGCAAACTATTCTGTGGTTCTATGATGCCCAGCTGCACTGGACTGTGCTCGTAGGTTTATGTAGATCTGTGCAGATTCCCACTGAGGCTGTCATCAGGGCTGGATTTGCCAAGGTATCTCAGCTGTGTCGCTGCCCATGGCAGGGGTTGGAACTGGATGAGCTTTAAGGTCCCTTCTACCCAAACCAGGCTGGGATTCTAGGAAAAAAAAGAAGTTTTTATCTTCTCTAATCTAACTAATGACACCTCTAAGATATTTAAATTATCTCAATTCCCTTGTAAATCTGAGCCTTTGTAGCAGGAATCTCGGGACCCTGCATAGCCAGACTACTCATGATTAAAGTTAAAACTCAGCAAGGTTGGGTCCTCTGCTCTTGTTGCCTGTTGCTCTGTGGATACTTGCAGTCAAACCACTTTTATTTCTTGGGGTGCCTTTGTTTATATACCTTTAGCATTCCAGGCTGCATTTGGGAGTCCCCATTCTGCATCCGTCCTACCTGTTCGGACACAAAGCTGAAAATCAAACCCCACTGTGCCAGATTTCCCAGGCATACGCTCGGAGCTGTGCTGACAGATGGGTATAGGGTGATGCGGGGACCAGAGCAAACAATTGCAGTGTAGTTTTTACATTCATTTCTTTATTTTTAACCATACTGAGCATCCAGACTTGTCAGCTCGCTTCTTTACGCTGCAAGACATGGGTCAGGGAGGCTGAAACCCGCTCAGCACAGCCCAGCGGGGTCAGACCCCAGTTTCGGGTGTCCCAGCACAGGGTGTACGAGCTGGTGACTCCTGTCCTCAAGTATCCAGTTGTGCACAGGCAATAACTGTGGCTTCATTGCTACCCTCCTACTCTCATAGAAAGGCCTCATCAGCTCCTCCCACATGGAATCAGCTGCGTGGGGCACTTTGACTGCATTCTTATACAGGAAACCCCCCCCAAAGTCCCTAAACCATGGCTGGTATTTTATGATAAGCCAACGCTGCTTGACCACATGGGTTTCAGTTGCTTTCAGTCCCTTTTGCCCTCTTCTCTGTTTGGATCCTGGAGTTTGTACGAGCAGTTTACCTGGGCATTGCAAATTACAGGGTTGGGGCTGCACTGATTAGTAGCATGGTCTGGTGCTTCATACCCATCATCTGTAGAGCAGCCTGGAAAAGTACAGATAAATAATCCACACATCAAATATCGCTTCCCAATGGTACAATTATCCACGTGACTTTGATTTTTAGGACCTTTCTTTGACAAAGTAAGAGGGAGATATTAGAATATTCTAATCATTTGCCTCTTTTGGGAATGATCTCAATGACTTTGCTTGAGTGAAATATTTCATTCTTGATGCTACAAATGTTTTTGTTTGGAAAAAGCTGTGTTAGGGCAAGTTTTCAGTGTTGTGGTAACATTCCACTGTTTGCTAATTGGTAAAGTGTATAAGCTATGCATATTAGACATGTACACACTTGATTTTGTTTTTTTTGTTGTTGCTCAGATACTTCATGTGTTATAATCTGTAATTTATTTGCCGATGGGGGGGTATTTTGATGAACTCCCAGAGATTGTAGCTAACATTTAATGGTATAAATGTGCTAATGCAATTACTCTTCTGTTCCTCCCTTTGGTAACTTCCATTGGTACTTGGGACCTGTTGGTTACGTGGACTGAGTGTGACCGGATGCTGCCACTGTATGAATCTCTCTGCCTGTCTCTCAAGTTCAGCCTGAAAGTGCAGAATTGGCGAGGGCTCCCTCAGATGGTACCTTTGATAACAGATTATCCTAACAAATCACCTTCTGTGCACACTGGCTTGTCAGATAGAGGAAACCTTCACGGTAAATCGGGCACTTAACTCGTACCTCTATTTGAACTGCAGGATTTCATACTCTTGTTTGCTATTTTACTATCTGCATTAGTCTTCTGGGGTGATGCTGCTGGCTGCGTGGTCTTAAATGTGTCAGTATTTACAATGCGGATCCTCTTTCTTGCAGGTTGGGAATATGGGATTTCGTTACCTCTATGAGGTGTTGCAGCTTTGTCTTGCACATCATCCCACCTGTTTCTTGTCACGGGGGGTGAGGGGGATAATTACATTAGTAATTCGGGAGTATTTTAATGGTAGGAAAGCGCTGTTTGAAGCAGTAGGAGGGAAGGGCGAATGCATATGGCACCATGTATGCTTTCATGAAAGGTTTAGCTTTTTGAGGCCCAGAATTCCTTATCTGATCCGTACAAAGGCTGTGATGTTAGTTTTTTGGGGAGTGGTTTAATGCCTACCACAGATAAGGTCTCTGTGACTGATAGGGCAAAGTAGCAAATGATTATGCTCCTTTTTCTTTCTCTTTCCTCCTTCCCTCCCCCTATGAACATGCTCTCTTCCAGTCTGAATTCGTCCTTTTCCCAACGTAGGACTTTGTTCTAGACAGTATTTCCTTTCCGTGGTTCAGAGAGCTTTGCCTTTATTGGACTTCAAAGAGTTAGAGTCTATTTTTATACTGTAAGCTCTTGTATTTTCCTAACTTTGCCTTGTTTCAGTGATCCTTGATTAATGCTAATTCAACTTTATTTGGCAATAGCAGCTCCTCCTTCTCTTCCTGTTCCCCTTTTATTAATCCAGTGGAAAGAGGAAAAAAAGCCTCATTTGCACAGTTGTGACACAACGGGGTCTGCTCTTCGGAGTGTGTATGTGATGCTTCTTGACGGCTTCTATATAGAGAAATAGGTCTGCAACGGATCTAAATCATGCACAAATAGTACATTGATGGGCATTATAAAATGGCTGTAATAAATAAAATAAATGATTGCTGACAGCATAACAAAGGCACTCTTGTACTGGAGCACAGCTGAGCCAGACAGAGGAGAACATCTGCTTCTTGTTTCCAGAAATAACTGGTATTTTCAAGTGGGATTTTTCATCCTTTTCAGTGATTTTTCTGTACACTCAGTAGGTGAAACAGGGGATTAGCCTGGGTTAAATCCATTGTTCCTGCAGTGAGCTTGTAGGTGTTGATGTAGCAACAGTGGTGTTTTGGGCTGGTCGTTAAATGTACTCAGAATTGTGGAATCACTGCAAAAGTCTTGCCGTTATCTTACAGCGAAAAGAAGTTTGTATTAAATGAAGTTGCAGATGCTGGGTTGTATTTAATACGGATTCTTTCCTGTTAGTATGTGGGCCTCCAAAAGAGGGAAAGAGGAGTGATGGAAACTTGACTCCTGCCATAGTTTTCTACCAACCTCTACTTCTCTCTACTTCTAACCTTTCTGCTACCTAACCTCTTACATTTTCACCCCCCTTTCTTTGTTAGTGATACATTGCTTTATAGCTGGTGCTCTCTAAGACTTTGTTGTGCAAGTAACGGTTCTGGAGCTCAAACTGAAGATGACCAATAGATTGTTCTATAGCTCTCTGCTGCATCAACAAGGAGCTGACCAGTGCTATAAAGCTCTTATGCTTTACCTGGGAGATCCTTGGTTCTGTCTTCGCATGTGGCTGTGCTTGGAAGTTGGAAGAGAGCTTTAAAATCAATGTATTGGTTACTGCTGGGAGATGACCCAAGTGATGCTTAACATGTACTGACATGCCTGCGACTTACTACTAATAAAATCCTGGCTGGGTCGTTGGGCACCTTCTGAGTACAGAAGGGCAATGTGCATATGACAACAATGATTATTTACAGTTAGAGGAACATAAAAGCCTGTCGTATAATTACAACTACTTCAGAAGCGGTCTTGTGAAGGCAGCAGTTACAGGTTTATGTTTGCTCTGTATGATTGAAAAATCAAATGCAGGAAGTTGGTTTTAGTGGCAAAAATGCTAAGTAACTGCAGCCTTAGAGAAGGACCTGAGAGTGCACTGCCTCTCAGACACCCTGTTCTATCAGCATCTTTCTAAGGCTATGAAAGACCCAGAACTGTCAGGATTTCTTAAATATTAGATTAGTCTCTTGGAATAAGATGTGCTGTAAAGCTTTTTTTCTTTCTTTTTATAGCAATCTGGTTAAATTAAAGCTCAGAACAGAGGTACCTGAGGACTGGCACCTTGGATGTTGCATTGGTGCCTGACAGCTCTTCAAATAGTTCGGGTCTTGCAAGCACAGTACAGGTTTTCTTCTTAATG